GAGAGCAGTATATACAAAAAAAAGACCCATCCTCTCGTCAGAGATGGCACCCCACAAAAGAAAAAACTGTCAAGCAGTAATAAATATCTTGTCATGAGCCCCAGATTGAGCTCCACATCGAGACTTACTGACTGACTGACTGACTGACTTACTGACTGACTGACTGACCGTCAGTCGCAAAGTGACTTTGACTTTGAATCGGCAGTCGAGTTCCGCAGTTCCAAATGAGCAGTCAGTCGAGAGAGGGGCTCTCCAACGGAAGCTGAGAAGATCGCGCTATGAGTTCAGTTGGTAGTTCAGTTGAGGAAGCTCAGCGGAGCAATTTAATTGAGAGTTCAGGTGTGGAGTGTTAACCAGTGGGCAACGGCGTAACCATGGAAGCTGAAGAATCTCCGATGTTAACATTCGTTTCCAGGAGACGCTTAATGAAAACATCACAGATGAATAGCTGTTATTGAGAACTGTTACCAAGCAACGACCAGTGAAGACTGAGAAGACTTAGCGTGTGATAATGATATGCAATGTGGAAATTAGCAATAATGGTATGATTACTTATAGTTCCGAATTCCGCATAAAAGTGGTCAATAAATCCATTCGCCAATCAGCTATATGACAGAGTTTTGCATAACTTTAGCTTTATTGCCTCATTACAAAGCCTATTTCGTATTAAATCATAAACGGAGCTTACCATCTATATCAGGTACCGTTATTAAAATTTAGTCATATGGACTGCCTAACGTTAGTCAACAATTCTCATTCACAGCCACAGGCCTATTGACCGATTCATATGGATTATTAATGCATTCCATAAACCGCTCCACAGATATTGTTGTAATTACATTTTATGCATTATTTCATCATTTAAAATAAATGTTGCTTGTTTTTTACATCATGCAATTTGTGTTTGGGATAGCGTATTCGATACAGCGACTGACTGGTCGATTGAGGGGCCGAAGTTCAAGTCCCTCTAAGGTCAAGAATTGTCTCTTCACCACCTCGTTCAGGCCGGCTTTGGAGCCCTCCCAACCTCCTATCAAATGAGTACCGGGGGTTCTTTCCAAGGGGGTAGAGCGGCCGGGGCGTGGAGCTGACCACTCACCTCTAACTAGCCCCGAGGTCAAGAAATTGTTGATCTATACACCCACCCCCCATACGCCTTCATGGCGTAGTGTTTAATTAGTTAAGCAGAGGAACTATCATACCATTTTATAATTTGTGTTTTGTTGAAATTCCGCAACGGAGCTTAACAGACTACAAAGAAAGCCTTTGGGAAGTTTGTAGAGGACTACTACATGATGAAGTGCGCTTCTATCAACCTCAGGAACATCCAAAACTCAGTAATCCCTTCCAGGCTAGTTTATTTAATGTAGCGCTTTATTAAAACACGATATAAATTTACACACGTGCTGCTCACTGTCCTCACAATGTAGCAATAGAAATAGTGAAGCATTAGTATCGCTATTAGAGTCAATTTTACCGACTACACCGAGGAGCATGGGTATTGTCACGTGTTAGTGATTAGACATGGGGTTTGTATTGGTAATTGGATGTATTGAACTCTTATAACCAGTGGCTACAGGTAATTACGTATAACTGTCACACGGATATATGCAATATAAATGATCACTGTACCGCAGCACACAAAAAAAGGCTTATGTCTTCACTTGTCGTTGCCTGGTAACAGCTCTCATCTATATATATTCCTATTCGTCGGATTCTTTACTCATGTCCTACGGGCTGGCGACTGTCTCGCAACTCCTCACGCCCGCATTTCCTAGCCATGACTGGTAAACTTATCCCGTTGTTCCTTGCTATATAGCCTCTGCACGGATATGAAAGAAAACATCGCTCTTCCGACAACTCCTCTTATATTGATTGTGTATCCGTTGTCGCGGACACGTGTATATCGAGCTATTGACTATCAAAGACAGTCTCTCCTCACTTCACTCTTCTGGTCTTCAGGCGTAATGTCCCAGTATTTTCGTATCTACAGTCCCTTCTGAGGAACAGAGATATTCAGTGTACACCATACATTTTAACCCTTCTCAATCATAGGTAATACGACTGGGTCTGCAAAAATACATTTATATATGGAACATAAGAGCTTTAATTTATTTTCACATCTGTTGTTGAAGAAAATGTATTTATGTACTTATATTACAGTTAGTTATATTAAAAATTATAAAGGTATATAAATTCAACTTCTGTATAAAGTAATGGCGCCATATTTCGAATATTTAACTTAGGAGCCCTTTTTTCTTATAGAATCGTGAACAATTTTTCTATTTTTGCATTCGAGTGACTTAATATGTCTCCCATGAGAACCAGTACCTAATGTGATCTCAAACGCAGTCTATATTCAAAAACTTAATAAAAGCCAAAAAGTCTAATGGCCAAATGGTCTAAGAAAATGGTAGCCCAATTTCGGACAGATAACATCACGCGGTAGCGTAGTGGTTAAGGCACTATGCTACAAGTCGGAAGGTCGCGGGTTCAAATACCGATGAGGTCATTGGATTTTTTCAGTTAACCTAATCCTTCAGCACTATGGCTCGGGGGTTCACTCAGCCTCCAACAGAAACGAGTACCAGGAATTAAATAAATAATTTTCCTGTGGAGTAAAGCGCGGCCGGCGCTGAGAACCTTACCGCCACCTTTGAGCCGATTTTCTAGATAACGTGGGCCTTCACGGCCTGTTACAGGGATACTTTTTAACATATTTTTTAGAAACACAATTATTAAAAAAGAACCATGAAGAAGTGAAAGGAACAACAGACACATGTATCTACAGAATGTACAAAAGGCCTAAATTTGTGTAAACAACTAACGTTTGTATTTGAAGGATATTAATTATATGAATGTCATTTCCCGATGAGATCTTTGAATTTTTCAGTTGACCTAACCCTTCCAGCCGATCTTTGGCCCTGGGCCGACTCAACCTCTAACAGAAATGAGTACCAGGAATCTTCCTGGGGGTAATCATCAGCCGGCAAGTAAGGCTGGTAAACTTACCGCCTTCTGTGAACCGATTGTCTAGAAAATGTGGGAGCCTCAACGACTCACAGCCTGTTACAGGGATAGCTTTACCTTTTATGAACAAGATAATCTTTTCGACAAAAGAAACATCAAGTTTTGTCCTTACGTGAAGAAAACAATTTCGAATGACAGTCAAATTCGACTGATTATCGAGTGCAATGTTCGCACTAGTAGGTATTTCAGGAAATCAATTTTCTTGTCTTCTACAGCCTGCACTGCATTTCTTATGAAGTTTATGGTCCATTCCTTTCTTTTGGTATCAGCCACCTACGAATGAAGAAAGAGCCAAGACTATTAAGAATAAGATCCTTAATTTCAGACTATCTAGAGTCGCAGCCATGTTAATTATCCGAAATTAGGCAACATAGTACTGATCTAAATATGGAAGAATAGCGGGGAATTGACGCTTTTGGTAGCTATGGAAATACATGACATACATGTTACAAAGTACCTAATTGAGATGGTTTCGAAATCTTAGCTCTGAAAGCGAAAATATACAACAGAATTGGCAGAAATTTGCACACTGACGGTAAGGCAACTTTGCTCCTGCAGTGTTCAGTCTACCACTGCCGAGACATCGGTTGGATAGGAAGTGTTAGTGCCTGTGTCCACCATCACAGTATTGCCCTTACTCCCTGAAAAAAGACGCTATCCGAAATTAGGCGCCTATTCCAAACATGCTAACTTTACCTACTATCTATTCAAGATTTAAATTGTGAATCATGTGAAAGGTGGCAGACATAGCAAAGAGGGAGATAACGAGGCTTGTTGAAATTGAGTAATTCAATATATCTCAGACATCCTTTTGCAAGATGCACTTCAGTTCGATTGCTCATTTGGCTCTGCCAAAGCGAATGGAATTTGCCCATCATTATGTACTTGCATACCAACAAAAAATGAAAAATGTGAAGTAATAAAGAAAGCTTTTGGAATATGTGTATATTGTGACGTGTATATCCATTACAAGACAACGACTCGGTAAACACATTCCGGAAGATAAAGCTCGCAACAATAGGACGTCCATTGTTAGGTAACGGATCAGTAAACACGAATCCTTAACAACAGAGGCTGTATTATCTGCATGTTCCGATCAAAGTAGTTATAAAGAAGTGTTCGACAGCATAGAGTGAAGTGAAGAGTCTAGTGTCGAGACCCAAACCTGCCATGTTTTGAGCCTGGGAGCAGAGGAATTTAATTGAGTCGCGTCTTCGGAATTGGCAGTTGTAGAATAATGGCAAGAAAAGAATTAAACTGTGAAAAGAAGAGTACATGTGTGATTTAAAATTAGAGTCATACTGGAATAACTATTGTGTGGACATCCGTTTCCAGGATACGACTAGTGAAGGCTGAGAACATTCGTATATATACAAGGGTGAACTGAAAGTGCGTAGAATAGCCATAGCTCTGTGTTGCCTGTAGCACCAGATTGTGTGAATGTACGATAAGGTGTCAATAAATCCAATCATCCAATCCAAAACCCGTCAATAAGTCACGCAAAGCCCTTGAAACCTGAAAATACGTATATTCTAAACTGGAGTACAGAGTTCCTCTTCTGTCTGTCAGTCCAATGCAAAACGCAAAAAAATATATAAATCCGCTCACCACAAATCCTTGTTGTCTCTTAGTACTGAAAAGCATAAGCATGGAAGCGCAGATTAGCAGATAAACCAAGTTGACCATATCGGGTGTCGGGTGTAATTGTTATTGGTTCATATAGAGCTTAAGGGTGGAATGTTTCGGCATTCATCTCATTATCTTCAGCAGATAGCACTAGCCGCACGTAATGTGGAAGTAGATCTGTTGCACACATACATCAGGCAAAGTTAATCCATAATGTGTAGCCTAATCAGTTTCTTACATTTCTTGCACTTTTATTGCTCGACGCAGAAGGATCAAACGAATCTCTAGGACCTGCAGTAGAGGTAAACTGTCTTCAGTTGCTGAGTGACTTCTTCCGATTGCAGGCTCCATGACGACAGCTCTGTGCGTAGCTACCTGGACTGCGGTTGGGTCAGCACTAACATCCTGAGGAGGAACACGCTGGACACGCCAGAGGACGCCGATATTGTCATCGGATACTTGTTCAAGGTCAGTATACTGCCACATGAATTCCTTGACATAGTCCGCAGAAGTACATGTACATCTGTTCGTTACTGAACCCATTAAATCCTTATATCCTTTTGGTGTACAGATGCAATTGCGTCGGACAGTAGCGCCAACAAAATGAACCCTTTCCTCGGTATGAACGACTGGATTAGAATTCTCACAGGGAAGGGGATTCCTCTTTCCGACATGACATCGGGACCAGATTTTGGACTCGCCCATCTTATTCTACAGTGAATACCAATCTTTCGTTGCTCTCAATAAAGCGGCCAGGGGATGAATCTGACCTCTCGCCTCCATTTCTATTCAATGTTCAAAATTCCTGGAGCTAAACCTCGAGTGCTTGATACACGGTAATGGAATGGAACTTCAGCCCGGGCCTGATTTTAGCATTACATTGTACAGATGTAGGTAATGTGCTGTCCTGAACACCAGTTACTATTTAGCTCAGTGATCTTTCAGCTTATTTTCTGTTTATCATTTCCAGGATTATGTAGGCTTATTCGGAATGTCTCTCTCTCTTTATGTAATTTCATTCTTCCTTATTTCATTATCGCGTCTTCCCGTCAACTTTTCCTGCCTTACCTTCTTCTATCCTTCGTTCTTCTCCCTTTACTTCTCTTCTTTACTTCTTATCTCCGTCTCTCTGCCACTTCTGTGCATTTTCCTCTTCTCTTATTCTCCATCTGCTCTAAGCGTTCTGTATCCATATCTTCATAATCCTCATCTTTCCTCAATTCTTTTTACCTTCCTCACACTCTCAATCCATTAACCTCAATTTTCTTACTTTTTATCTTACTTACGCAACTATTACTTGCCCTCATGTGCTATAACTTTCTTTCCCCTCCCACTCTTGGCCTTCTTCGTTTTCTACTTCTCTGTGCCAGCCGTTTCCAGAGAGTATGACGTGGAATTTTCTGGGAAATTTACGCAATAAAATTGAATTGACTCTAAATCTCAGAATGTTAGAGACTGACTCCTAAAATTCGTGCATTAGCAGAGTCTTATTTTATATATGAGGAACTAAGAAACTTGTTCTTTATACACAAACAAAGTTAACAAACTGGGTGACATGAAATAATTTCCAAGGCGAATACTTGGAAACCACTGCCCTCTCTTCAGATTATTATCTTTTGCTTCTCCTGGTTCCCCTTCGTCCCTAGTCATTTATCTTAAGTTTCTCCGTTTCAATCAGCCTTCCTTTTAAATAGATTTTTTTTTTACCTTTCTTTCATTTTCTTTCAGTTATACCATTTTATTTCTCCATATCCTCCTCTGCGCCCTCTCTGATTTTGCTCCATGTTGGTTCAATTCTCTTCCTGTGATAGGGTGATCTAGAGCAGCTGGTGATTGTGCCCAATCCGTCCGCTGTGGGCCAGCAGTGCTCCGCAACCCGCATTCCACTGTTGGACCCGGCGCTGCTGCAGGCAACCCGCAGCGTGACGGCAGGCGGGCCGAGACAGCGCCGAGGACGTAGAAGCAAGGGACGAAAGGGAGTTGACTACCACCACAACGAGCCCGTTGCTCCTTGGAAACTCACGAACAAGTTTGACGATGTGGAGGATACGGCAGCCGCTAGCAGAAGGGACTCGGCATCACAGCTCGAGAAGAAACCGGTGCATGGCACAAGCACTTTGAAGCAGAAAGACTCTGACAACAGCAGCGACAGCAGCGATGAAGATGACTTCTATGAGGGCAGCGGCTCTGAAGGAAACGCGGTGGGAGAGGGTCAATATGGTAAATTCCTTACATACTTACCCTTTGCAGTATGCTCAACTAAACTTCGAGGGCATTTGCACCTCTGCCCACATATTTCAGCTCCTAAATTATTGAACCACTTGCAATCAAATCTGGCTTTGAGAAGAACTACACTGAGCGCTGTCTCGTGAATTTAATTGTTTAAATTAGTGTCACTTGTTAGAGTGACTACAGACGGCGTTCTGATTGGTAATTTAATTTATTGAACACCTACAGACTGTAACTACAAGTAATTATAACGCTGTCACTAATCCATGCACTCTTCTTCTCACTACAGCACATATTAAATATTCTCAGTTCATTTTCACTGGTCGATTCCTGATAACGGATCCTAACATTGTCCTCTGCTTATGTGCTTACTCGCTGGCGAATGTCGCACAACTGGCTACTGAATAAACTCATAGTCAAAGTCCAAGTTCAAGTTACTTTTAAGACTCAGTTTACCGCCTATCAGTTCGGCTTGGCGTCAAGCCTCTCGAGACCCACGACCAGAAATTTTTTCAACTGAACCTTTACGTCCATAGTCTTTATGTGACATTCTCTCTGACAAGAAGATGGGTTTGTCTCTTATTTATGTTCTTGATCAATCGCCAAGTGTACGTATCGCAAATATAGCATCATATTGAAGATATTTCTTTTTGAGGTATAAGAAGCCTTCTGTCAGGCCAGGCTTTGCAAAGCAGATCATGCCTATCTTAATGCTACAACGGCAGCTTAGTCACTTTAACGATCGTTAAGTTTGACCATCGCCAAATTTAAGCCTGCCTACTGACTAAATTAAAAGTCATAGTCACATTGCGACTGACGGTCAATCAGTAAGTTTTGGTGTCGAGCCCCATCTGGGGCTCATGATCAGATATTTACTACTGTTTGACAGTTACGGTCTTGGTTTCTGCGGGGCGCCTTCTCTGACGGGATAACGGGTCTGTCTTCTTTACATGCTCCTAGCCCTTGCCAGCGCAGTCTTTCTCAACCAAATTTTACGCTCTGAGGTTTGAAACTTTCCTTTCCGTCGCCTCCTACAACTCGCAGAGTCACGGTGGGGGTATTCGACCCCGCCTCCACACTGACTAAATTCTAAACTTGTTCCGCTTGTAACCCCTACGCACGGACCGCGTAGAAAACACCGCCCATCATTTTTAATTCAATCGTTGCGATGGAAAGACGTTTGTTTATATAATTTAATATAGTTTAATATAATATCTACTTCATGTTGAGCAAAATTAACAGACTGCATTGTTTTTTAAAGTGATCCAACATATTGAAATTAGTAGACGTAATAAAATACATCTCGTGAAATTTTGCATCTGTTATCTGAACATTTTTGAAGTTACTTTTTCAAGAAATTAAAAAAAATATATATATATGACGAAGGTGTATGTTGTCTCTCGAAAAGAACTTTTCTTCCCAGAAATTCCCCGTTGAATATTTTCTTTAAAGAGGTGTTTTTAATTGAGGAAGCTCCCTGTGGTTCATATCATCTCACATCAGAGTCAGACAGGGCAGAATTGTTCGAGTTCAGTACATTTTCTTTTTTCATTGGTGGCAGTCGAAGTGTTACACATTGGGCTTACCTGAATGCTGTGTTTGTGTGACAGAGATGGAGTGGTCGGACTGGGGTGAATGTTCTGTGACGTGCGGCACCGGCTCTCAGTCCCGATATTCGCGCTGTGTGGACGACGGGAGTCGACTGGAACTGTGCGTGGAGGCTGGCGGGGAGCGTACAGAGACCAGAACCTGCAGTCGGGAGCCTTGTGCCACAATCAGCACTACTACAGAGGTTTCGGGGAGCACAGATACCACCCAATTGCTCCCAGACATATTCTACCCGCCCCTCACAAACCACTCTCCCTCCGCCCCTGTCACCGAGAGGAAGCAGCCACAAGAACACAAGCACCGTAAGTTTCACCACAAGAGTGCTGCAGGCAACAACAGTGTGTTAAACGTGTCCGACTGGGGCCTCGGCAAGATCCACGAGCAAGTGCTGAGCGGTAAGAGTGAGTGGTCTCACATCATCTTAATCATAACCAAACAGGGTTCCTTGTGTTGATAAAACAGAAACAAAGAAACTGCGTGGCCTGTAGTCCGCAAGCGAACTATACCGACCGAGCGACCGCCGCTTGTCGGTGAAGTTAGTGTCAACTTTAGCGGATAGGGTGTGTCGTGTGGTCAGCGCAACGGATCCCCACGGCCGTTCATCTCGGTTTTCTAGACCGGAGCCGCTATTTCATTGAAATAGCTCCTCAATTATCCTCACGAGGCTGAGTGGACCCCGTTACAGACCAACTACTTTTCAAATCTGGTAGCGCCGGGAATCGAACCAGGGACTTGGTTGATCAAGTCAAGGAGGATGAGGTGGGTAGGTCATGTAGCACGAATGGGGGAGACGAGGAATGCGTATAGAATATTGGTGGGAAAGCCAGAAGGAAAGAGACCACAGGGAAGACCAAGGCGCAGGTGGGTGGACAATATTAGAATGGATTTTAGAGAGATAGAATGGGATGGTATGGATTGGATAGATCTGTCTCAGGATAGGGACCAGTGGAGGGCTCTTGTGAACACGTGATGAACTTTCGGGTTCCATAAAATGCTGACAAATTCTTGAATAGCTGCAGAATTGGCGGCTCCTCCAGAAGGGCTCAGCTCTATGAGTAAGTAAGTACTCCGAGCTCGGGGCAGACGTTAGCTAAGGACTGGGCGATCTGGATTCAGTTCACTTCTGTTATTTGTTTAAATGTTATCGCACAGAGCTATGAAAATGTATGTTTATTCATCCACAACTTTAATCTAAAAATCTACTTAAAGCATCGCGTTTAAATTTCGCTCTCAATACACGTATCTGTCCTGACATCTGTAGGCAGAATTTAATTCTGGTACATATCGATCCCACTTTTAAATATGGTTAAACACGAGTTCGTCGATTTTCTCGAAAGCGAACGAGTTAAGGGCAGAACACTTTAATCCTAGCGTCCTACGCACAGACATTAATCCCTACGAGTTTTTCTCGTTAAGGTTATACACCAATAAGTTTATCGCTTATACACACATACACTGCCGTCTCATATTCTGCTTTATTTTTCATTCACTCCTTTTGCTACATGTTTCGGCTGTAACCGGCCATCATCAGGCAACTCTTTACCTTGCTAAAACCTTTACACTTTATATTTCACTGTATTTATAATGCATTAATTCGGAGATAGAATATGTCAATATCGTTTCTTTTGTCGTTATCATTTCGTAAAAGATATTTGTTTCAGCACATTATTCTTCGTTATGTTTCCCTACAAATATATTGTATGGAAGAATGACGCTAAAAGGAACGACATTGACATATTTTAATTTGGAACTAATTTATTTTCAGTTCAATGAAAATGTACAGTGTAACGGTTTTAGTGAGATATGTATTTACCTGATGATGGCCGGGTATGGCCGAAACGTGTAGCAAACGGTAGGAATAAATGAAAAATAGAATTGCGTTTGAGACGGAAGTATATATTTGTATAAATGATAATTTAATGTAACAGGATGCTGAAATACAATAAATTTATGTCCGAACAATAAAATGCACTTTTACCCATGAGTTAGCTTCATCGACTCTGGCGTAAATTTTCGAGAGATCAAATCCTACTTCAGTAAGTTATGATATTTCTTGAAACAGCAAATATATTATAGATTATTATTATTATTATTACTAATGATCGTGGCAGTAATGACTGTTATATCGTTATTCAGTTGTGGTTTGTTCAGCGACGCTGTCAGTGTATCGGGCTATATAGCGTTTATTTTCCACGACGCACAAACCAGTGTCGTTTTTACAAGTTGTAACAAATTCAAGTTCATGTGTTCTCGTCGTGTTTTGTTTAATTTCTTCTGTTGTTACCAAGTCACAAGGCACTGTTGCCTCATCTTCTCTCGTCCCATCTCATCTGAACTCACGGTGCTCATTCCCTTTCATCCCACTGAATGCTGTCCCTCACACCCCTCCCTATTCCTGCTTCATCTGATCCCTTCCCGTTCCTCCCAAACATTCCAATAGCTTCCCTATCGATCTGCTGCAGGAAGACTTTTATAATGAATTCTGTCAGGTTAGGCTCAACGTTCCCCGGTGGGACTCTGGATTTATTCCCCGAAGAAACATTCCCTTCCTAGTCTTGTCGCTACTTGTAAGCTCGTGTTTAAGTTAGCTTTCCAAGTTAATTTTCCGATTAACCTCATAATGTTCAGAATTCGTTGTTATACTGCTTTCTTTCGAAACCTATGCATTAGTTTCGCCATGTCCACCCGTTGCCCACTTAATAGCAACGCAACGGAACAGATGTTGATGAAACTCTGTAACGGAGAATTATACTGAGTCTTGAGCAGGCATTTTGATATTGATTTATTCTAGTTCCTTTTAACTACACTTTTATTTAAAAGCCTTAAAAAAAGGGTCAGAATGGCTCAGTCGGCACAGCGACGGGCTACGGGCTAGACGTCCTGGGTGTCTGTTCCCCGAAAGGGCAAGAGTTTTCTCTTCACAATATCCAGAGAAGCTCTGAGGTTCACTCAACCTCCTAGCCAATGCGTACCGCTGGCTCTTTCCCCAGAGTAAAGCGGTCAGGGCGTGAAGCTGATCACTGACATCCATCTTGTGCCGATGTCAAGAATGGTGGAGCTATACCTCCACCCCACCACATGTGTTCTTGGTATATTATTTATTTAATATAGCAAAGGGACGTCAACATCTTAACATTAAACCATTTTCGATTAGGCTGCATCTATTGAAAGTATTTATGTCATTTTTATAAGAAACGCCTTCTATACCCTTCGTACATGTATATTTTTCATGCATTTTAATTCGTTCCAAGGACGCCTATACCTAAAGACTACATAGCTACCAGGCTATAGGCTAGGCGACAGAGGAATCCGTGATCGATTCTTTGCAGAGACAAGAGTTTTTCTCTTCTCCACAACACCAGGGCCGGCTTAGGTCGCTACTCCGTCTCATTTCCTGTGGCTGCCGGAAGTACTTTCTCTGGGAGTAAAGCGGTCGGGCCTGGGAACTGACCACTCACTCCCAACTAGTGCCTACACGCAGCTGTACTTTACGGCCCACTCTTCTTCCTGGCGTGGTGCTTCATTTAGCACAGTAACCACTTTATATCGTACCAAATTTCTTTTTTCTTAATCCTTTTACAGAATCTGACATTTTACAGAGTACTCCTACGTGTGATGCTTGAGCACCAGCATCGTCTGCTGTATCCTGTCATTCTAAGGGTCTCTTTCTTCAGGCTTCTCTGTCCATCTTCCCAATCGTGGAATTTCATTTCTGTCCCTGAGTCGATTTTATATCTCCACTAATGATTCGTTAACGTTTCTTCTGCTATTTCTAAGAGTGCTTCCACGCGGTTCAGCCATTTTTACACATCTTAAAACTTTTACATATCGCATCAAACGCTTAAATTTCTTTTTAACAATTTTTCCAAACAGTATTTAGTTCATAAAAGGTTACGTACATATTTAATATTGATTTAAAATAATTCACCCGTTTTCGAGCTTTATTATATTCATAGAATTTTTCATAAGTTCTAACTAATCACAAATGTGTTTCAAGTTACAAATTATTATTACTGCGCAACATCCCGGAAACATCTGAACCTTGAACGGATTGTTATCGCTTAATTAAGATGAAGTAGATAAAACTTGGACGGAAACGTGAGTAAAAGTTTCATATCGTGACATATGTGCTGAAAGCAGGAATAGCAGAACCAGAGAAGAGTCTAGTACTAGGCAATGGCTCTGTAAAAACGTTTCCACGGCAACCAAGTCACGGACTGTAGCAGCAGATATACTGTGACGTGCTGAGCTATGGATGACGCCCCCCCCCCCCCNGTACGTGAAGACAAGTGAAGATTGTGTTAAGAGATTTGTTGTAGGGTTTGTAAACTGTGGAAACCCGTAACGTTGTGATAATTAAGTGTAGCCGATAGTTGTAGATTGTTCAAGAAACCAGTTAACGATCTCTACGGCGTATTCAGTAACGTAAACACGTTACAATACGAACGCTACAGTGTAAGAACTGTTGGAGACAGTGTCTTCTGTTGGGTTCGTGCGACTAGACTGGCCCGGTTAAACGAAAAGAGCAGATGAGTCAGAAGCGAGTGCTAGCCAGTGATGTAAGTTAGACTGTCAGTAATGAGTTTCCTTTGCTCTATGTCACTGTAACCCTTTCGGGCCATAGCAGCAGTAGGAAGCCCTTTTCTATGAAATATTGATTTTATGAACTTCGCATGTATGGACACAACATAGAAGATTGTAATTTAAAATTCTTATCTTTTCCTCCCACATTTCTTTTTTACAGTCCTCTTTTCTTCATATACGAGTACTTCCTCTTCTACATCTCCACAATCTCCTCTTTATCCTTCCCATTTTTTTCTCCTTCCGTTTCTCCTCTCTTCTTCGTCCTTCGAGTTTTCTTCTACTTCTCAACTTCATTTTCTACTTACCACTTTCTTCTCGACTCTTCGTAGAAATATGGTTGCTCACAACACAAAATACAGATTTTAAGAAGCCGTATAACATGTATTTGAAATATATCCCGATTCGGCTCTTTTTTTTTTTTTTTGGCTGAGGGACAGGACATGATGACGACACCAACT